AAAAAACAAAAACAGTGAGTGCAAAACATCCAGGCTCTCTTTTGGTTGGACACTTTATCTCTGTGACACTAGCAGTAAGATAATTAGGGATCTAGACTGAGAGATAAAGTGATTTGCATATCCTGAGGAGTTTTCTGGAATTTCAGGGTAAAACTATAAGATTCTGGACGATCTGGATATGTGGGCATCTACATTTAATACACATTGTGAACATAAACTTTATCACAAATGAGACTAGTTAAACTGAAGCTTAAAATTACGGAGCACGAGGAAGCTCCAAATAGCAATAAGTCGTTAGGAATCAGTTTAATACTATATCTATTTAATAGGATAATAGCATTGTGCTGTCTGCTATGGTTTGTGACTTGCTAGCCCTGGGTTACCAGGCTTGATATCAGTATCAGGTATGGACTTCACCTTGTGAAGCAGACCATAAATCCAATCAGAAAGTGGTTGGTTGTTCCTATAGAATGTGGGACACTGTTGCACGAGTGGATGTATCTTGCAGGGCCAGTTGTTATAGCTTTCAGGATTCACTGTGTAAGGCTGATGATTTTCTCTTCCAGTAGTATGCACAACACCTTCCAACACTATGAAAGCTAGCCAAGTAAAGAGGAAGCCTTGAAGTCTGTATCTTCTTTTTTTCCCCCTGTTTGTTTGACAGCTCTTTTGTATAGTATTTTTAGCACTAGGGACTTATCATAAAGTTCTGGGGATGGGGGGGTAACCAAGACAGGAGCAATGTTTAGTTTTATTTGAGGGTCTATGGGATCCCCTGTGAATATCTTTGAAAATGGGAATCTATTCCTGGCATCTCTTAATTCTCACCAGAAAAGCTTCTTCGTGCAGCAGGTTTATGCAGAGACCCACAACTGGTCAATGTATGAAAAACAAAATACTACAGAATGCTTATCCAGGAATAGGACACTGACATCAAACCTTAGACATCCAAGGCTTAGGGATCATTGCAGAAGAGGGGACAGAAAGATTATAAGAGCCACAGGTGGTGGATGACCATAAGGAAACACAGCTTTCCAGATAGCTGTGAAGTTGTTTGAATGAACTCACATCAATGGTGACAGCATACACAAGACTCATGAATACATAAGCTTAATCCAGACAAAGTCCATGCATAGAAGTGGGGAAGTAGATAGGAAGTTCTAATTATAACTGAGGAACTATTGGTAATGGATAGCTATTGGGAGAGGGAACGTCAGTTTTCTTTAAGGGTGACACTGGATTAAACTAACTAAGCTCCAGTAAATGGACCCACACTTAAGGGGATTTGAGTACACGTATTTACTTGATAGACCTTAATATTTATAACAGAGTACATGAAATTGAGTTGGGGTGTTAAAATAGGGGGAGATACAGGAGGGAATCTCAATATGATAAAAGTATATGGTATGAAATTCCCAAAGATTTAATAAAAATGAAAAAAAGTGTGGATCATTGGACTGGGACTACAACCTAATTAGTAAAATGTTTGTTTAGCATGACTGAAAATTTGAATTTATCCTCAATACCTTATAAACTGGACATAGTGGCACATGTATATAATACCAAAATTCAGGAGATGTAGGTAGGAGGATCAGTAGTTCAGGTCATCCTTGACTACATATGAAGTTTGAGACCAACTTTGATTATACCAGATCTTTACTCAAAAATAAACAATAGCAACAAAGCAATAGTGGAGATCTAGTTGGATCAAATTACCTGGAAAACAAAAGAAGTACATTTATTTTTCCCCATGAGAGTTTGCAATTTTCAATGTGAAAAAAAAATAGCACTGATCACCACTTTATTCTTCCTACAAGTAAAGCAAAACTTCAAACTCTATTTGAGGGATGACCCCTTTTCAGAAATTACGGGCACTGAATTTATTGCCAGCCTATCATCATTGTCCATCTGTTAATTCTCTCCACATCGAAGCAGCAGCTGTCAGTGCAGAAATGCTACAGTAGATAATAAGATGAGGTACATTTCATCTTCAAATGCTTAAAACAAATCCCCAGGAAGAGCAGCAACAGCTCCTCTGACTACATGAATCTCTGATATTATTAACATAAAATGCCAAATGGATTTGGAGATTGGGAGCAAATGGAATTGCTTTAAAAGGAAAAGTACTCAAGATAGATATAGTACATATTGTAGTAGTCTAAAATTGCAGAACTATAGGAAATACCAAAGCCATAAGCACTCACAGAGATACTCCCCAAATCACAGCCACACATACAGCCTGAATACAAATAGAAGCCTATGGACTTTCCTAATCTGCACAGCCTATGTGTGTCACATTTTCTTTAGCCCTGGAAGGTAAGCAGCCACCAAACAAAACTTTTCCCAAGCTAATGTTTCCCTAAATTCTATAATATCTTCACTGTTTCAACTTTTCTCCAAATGTTGGCCCTTGATAATCTTAGATATAATCTCCCTTCTTGGTACTGGTTAGCAGCCTAGACAGCAATCAGTCATTTCCTTTGGCATATTTTCTTAGAATGATTCTTTTCTGTTCGGTCCTACTGCTTCTGTCCTGAAATTTGGTCAAATCACCTGATGCTTAGAGTGGACAGCTGTCCCTTCTCAGTAGTCCCTAGCCAATGTTCGTTCTCTCTCATTCACCCTGCATACATGTACCTGACTATATTTCATAGAGAATATGGTTAGGATGAGATAAGGAAGCAATGGACACAGTCACAAAACTCAGGAGTGGGTGGATGTGTGTGTAGAAGTGGATGTAGTCATGTGTGTTGACATAAATTGAGGTATGATTATATAACTAATTTCTCATGGAGATGTTATGATTGATATTATTTCATTCAATTCTCAAAATAATCCTGTAGGAGAGTTGGATCTGTTGGTGTATTCACACAGTGCCAGTATATGAAAGGCTGAGGCAGGATGAGCATGTGTTTCTGGATAGCCTGAGAATACAAAGTGAAACCTTTTCTCAGAAAACCAAATAATGGTGGTGGTGGTGGTGATGGCGGTGATAACAGCTTTGGGAAATAGGTCAAACAAATCTATATTTTTTTCTGTGTGATGTTGATAAAAAAGGATCCTAAATCCCATACCTTGTGATATAACAAGGATCCAGCACTAATTCTTTTTAATCAAAACTTAGGTGGTTTCTAGTTACAACACAACCTTTATTTACTCCGTTTTTGAGAATTATGATATAGAACTGAATTTCTGACATGTGGTAACCTATGGACCTTCTCCATGTAGATACCACCCTTGAACTTGGTCTCCATGAGCACAAGGAGAGAAGAGATAGAGAAAGTGACAGAATCCTTGGCCACTGGACACATAACAATACATACCATCCTTTTACACATGGAGGAATGCTTTTAAATTACCTTGGCTTATTTCATAATGGCGAAAGTTACAAAGAAACAAACAAATCCTAGCTGTTGATGAGAATCCAGGTCAAGGCAAGACAAAACACAGAGTAGTTAGTAGTTAGAGAGAATCCTGGGGCTTTTGGATACTTTGATTTTAGAAGGAAATTAAATTGAAATGCAGCAAATATGGCCAATATCAAGTCTGGGATGCTTCTCTTTCTACTGCTTTGGCATATGAAGATCTCCTTCACATTTTACCTTTATCCTTGGTCACAAGGCAAAATAGATAAATCGTATGTGTGGATGTATTTGCTACTAAAAGAAAGGAAAGGAGGGGGAAGAAAAGCAAAATCAAGGAAAGAATAAATAAGGATGGAGATGCAACAAACATACCATTTCTCATTTACAATATATAATTAGAATTGTTTCTCTACATATCGTTCTCTCTCTTGCTCTTTCTGTATAGAATGAAATGACTTGGGGATTCATGGACCATTTGAGGTAGGAATGACCCACTAAAACTTTAGTAGGTGGAAGTGGATAGAAGTGAGACACTTTCACAAATGTTCTTGCACAGAAGAAATAGCAATTCATCTGTGGTGGGGAATGGAAGTGTAACAGTGGATGGAGGTAAGGTGCTAGAGGGTCTGGTGATGGAGATGTATTGCCTTGCTCAGTCAGCAACACGTATTATCTTGCTGCTTCATCCTGTTGGTTAAGTGCCACCTCAGCAAGATCACCAGGAATATATTCCATGGCTGGGCAGCTTATGGTAATCTCCAGTGGTCTTGGGTTTATAGGATGATTCTTCCAAGAAACTGGTCATCATAATTCATAATTGCTCATTAATGAGCTGAGTCACTTTTGCAAATTAACAGTTGGGGTTTTTTAAGTTTTCTTTTTCTTTTTTTTTCTTTTTTTGGTCTTTGTGAAACAGTCTCCTGTAGCCCCAGCTGGCTTGGAACTCACCAGGTAGACCAGGATGGCCTCAATCTCACAGAGATTTGCCTGCCTCTTCCTCTGCCTCCCGAATGTGAATATCTCCAGAGAATAGATGATGATTGAGCTCATTCTAACTTCTAGATTTTGATGCTTTTACTTGGCTAGTGAGAGAAACAGTACAATAGGGGAAGGCACATGAGGCTAGAGGCTTGGGGAAAGTCTGCAGTTATTTATTTTGAGTCACTCATTTAGTTGTTTCTAAGTCCCAGTTTATTCACGGAGGCACAATAATATCCACTTTTGCAAAGTTATTGGGACATCTGAAAGTATCATGTTTCAAGATACCTAGTATGTTATATGAAGCTCAACTTAATTATTTGTAGAACATGGGGGCCTAGAGAGTAGAGAAATGTACCAAATGTGTTTTTCCTGTGTGTATATAGTGAAAAACTACATTTCCCACTTTGTCTTTAACCTCCATTAACCCAGGGTTAAGTCAAATGCAGTTTCTGGTTCTTTGGGAGGCTTTAATAATAATGACAGTCTGGGAGCATACAGGACAGATCTGCAGCTTCCTGGACATCTGGACTTAGTGGCAATTGGGCAGAAGTCACAGAAGTTGGATTCATTACTCTAATTGTCTGATTGGGTTTTATTTTCTGAAGCAATTTTCTTCTAAATGTGTATTTATTTGCTTATTGTTTGTTCCTGCAGTCACAGATGCTCACTGAGTGGGGAGGATCTCAACAGACAGTGGCTCTTTCCCCAAGCTCATCTTCAGCCAACGATCTATCATGCCAAAGGCCTCCTCCACTACCTGAGTAGTATCGGCCGGGGGCCTACGGTGAGTTACTTCTTTCTTTTCATACTGTTGCCTGGTTTCCTCTAACCTTCAGGAAGCAGATTACCAGGTCTCAAGGCAAGAACTTCCACAAACTGGGAACAGACCTGTCTGTAGAAATGTGGAGTCCCAGCATGGCAGCTAACAACTGTCTGTAGCTCCAGTTCCAGGGATCCAACAGCCTCTTCTGTCCTCTGTAAGCATTGCATGACACAGGTGCACTTACCTACATGCAGGCATAACACTCATACTCATAAAGAAAAAAATAAAATAATAAAGTATTAAAAAAAAAAGAAATGTGGAGTCCTTCCTTAACCTAAGCTGCTTAAGCTAAAGGTGCTATCAGAATGACCAACTCAAATATCTCTATTATAAACCACCTTTTAAAGTATCTACCATCTGATTAAAACAGCAGCATGTTTAATGAGTGCAGAAAAGGCACATGAGCATTTAACATAGGCTCCTACTGAAATTTTAAGATATTAATAAGTAAAGTGATTTTTCTTAAGACCATTTGAAAGTATACAGCTGCGTAAGGATTTAGTACTGTTATGTTTGTCTACACTGTGACCCAGTTTCAGGACTTATGGAACTCAAATTAGGTGTGGACTCATAGTACATTACAGTCAAAGAATATAGTTTAGTTTTAAATCAGCACTTGTGTTGGATAGCTTCAGTTGTCTACTTGACACACTTGGGAAGATGGAGCCTCAGTTGGGGGAATTGCTTCCAGTGGTTTGGTCTGTGGGCATGTCCATGAGGCATTTTCTTGGTTATTGAATGACTTGGATGGGCCCAGCCCACTTATGGGTGATGCCATCTCTGGGTACATGGTCCTGGGCTGTATAAAGCTGAGCACAGGCCAGAAATGCAAGCCAGCAAGCAATCATCCTCCATGGTCTGTACTTCAGCTCCTACCTCCAGATTCTTGCCTTGAGTTCCTACCTTAATTTCCCTCAGTGATGAACTGTGACCTGAGAGATGTTGATTTGGTCAATGTTTTTTATCATAGCAATAGAAAGTACCTAGGATACTAGTAGAAGGCATACTTTCAGAATCTTGGAGGGAACTGGTATAAGCATCCTCTTCCACCATAGGTGGATGGACAGAGTTTAATTCTCTAACAACAGTTTAACTACCAATGAAGTACATTAACTTTAACTTGGTGTTGAAGGAATTTTTATTCCAATTATTTTTATTTTAATTATACTTATTCATATGGTATAGTGTGGTTATCTAATACATGTATATGATAGATAGTGAGCAAATAAAATGGTTAGCATTCAAACCCCAGATCTTGCTGACTGATTCATTCATTCTGATTTTCCACTTTAAAATATGTACAGAAATATTCATGGAGGAAGAAAGTGGAATACCTGTTGCTAGCAGAAATGGGGGAAGGTGATGTATTGTTTATTGATACAGAATGTCAGTTTGAGAAGATGTAAAATTCTGCAGGTGGATGATTACAGAACAATATGACTGGGCTTAATACTACATAATTGCATTCTTAAAATGTCAAATTGTATGTTATATATATTTATAAAATAAAAATATACAACTATTGAAAAATGGGTAGCATTCTCATCTCCTAAATATTAAAATAATTATTAATATGTAGACACGTACAGACAAATACTCCAAGTTTCCATTTATTTATGGATGCTGAAAGTTTCCATTTGAATCGTGACTACTAGCAGGTGAGAAAGGGAAGGAGAGAAAGGGTAGAGGAAGGCAGGATAATAGATCCCATGCATAGCAACATGGAAACAGTAAGCTCTTTAATTCTCTGTCAAAGTGGAGCAACTGTAAGGCATATGTACTTACTATATATTTTATGACCTAAGAGGTTCTAAACACATTGTAAAAATGATGGAATAGTTGGGATTGGAGAGAGTGGTTAAGAGCACTGGCTGCTCTTGCAGAGTACCTGGGTTCTATCCCAGCATCCACATGGTGGCTAACAACTGTCTGTAATTCCAGCTCCAGGGATCCAATGACTCCTTCTGAACCACATGACCATTAAATGCATGACATAAGTATACTTACACATGAAATGAAAGTAAATAAAAAATATTTTTAAAAGATGATGAGGTGGATGTGTTACACTGATTTGATTCCTCCCCGTGGCATATGCACATTGAAATATCACACAATCCCCCTAGATATCTTCAGAGATATCTGGGGTCAGCTATACCATCATGGAGTACTTCTCTCCACCCCCGAGGTCAAATTGATACCTGAAAGTTCAAGAATTCTGTCAAAACTGATGTTGCTAGCATTGCACATCTGGCATTGTCCAAATCTCAGTTAAAGATACTTTTTACAGCCTAATAGTCAAAGGATTAAAGGTGTGGTGGTGCACACCTATAGTCCCAGCATTTGGGAGGCAGAGGCAGGTGGATCTCTGTGAGTTCAAGTCCTGCCTGGTCTACATAGTGAGTTCCAGGCCAGGTGGGGCTACAGGGAAACCCTGTCTCAAAAGGACAAAACAAGAACAAAAGCAAAAAGAATACTCCCAGAAGCCTATCAAGAGGCAGATGTTTCTTTAAAACCTGCAAAGCTTGACTAACCCAGATTTGCTGAGTCAAATCTTCTTCTTTTTAATGTATACTTTTATTAAAATATAGTTTTTATTGAACTTTAAAAAATTTCATACATTTCCCACTCAAATCCAGACCCCCCTCGCCCATCCATGCCTCCCCCTATCCCCCCACCAAACTCTATGCACTCTGTCATACATGCTGATTCCTATTTATTCAGGTGTCTGTACCCAAGTGTCATTCAGCGTAATTGCGTCCACTGTAGTCTAGTCAGCCCATCCAGTGGTGGTCTTATGTAAGTCATACTCTCCTCACCCAGCAGCAATCAGTCTCAAATATTTCTCAATCTAGTGCTGGCCTGCCACCTATTTTTCACCTCCCCTTTGGGCCCTTGTTTAACTGAGCTGACATGGGTCCTATGTTCGATGCAACTGCTGCTGCAGGCTCACATGGGCAAGCCTCCAGTGGCCTGGATGCCTCTACCTCCTTATGTTCATGAAGCAGCCCTGGCTCTTATAATTTTTCTGCCTCCTCTTCTGCAATGGTCCCTGAGGTGTGGGTGGTTGAGGTTTCAGATAGGAGTCCCATCCTACACTCTATAGTCTCTTATTCTCCAAAACTTAGCCAGTTTTGGTCTTCTGTGTGTGTCACACTCTGATGTACATGGAAACCTCACTAGTGAGAGTTGAGGGGTGCATTAGTCCTCTGTACCCGTTATTCCACTAAGTTCCTTGAGCCTTGGTTGTAGAGATTCGACTGAAGATGTGTCACCTAGTACGGGGCATCTCCCAGGTGTATGTTCTCTGTGCCTGACCAGATGTGCAACACCGCAGTAGCCTCCATCTGTTGCAAAAAGAAGCTTCTTTAATGAATTCTTGTGGATTTCATGCAATACATCTTCATCATATTTGGACTTCCCCTATCTGAAACCTATATAGCCTACCCACAAGATTTCATGCATACTGTTATATTAATACCTATTGAGTCAAATTTGTGTATCCAGATGTCACTTAGTGTGAGTTCATCAACATTCCTGTTTAGCCTATCTAGTGTCATGCTCTTAAAGAAGATCAGCTCTCCCTCAACCAGCAGTGATCAGCTGCCAATAGTTCCCGGGATAAGGGTGAGGCCTGTCCCACTAAATTTTCACCTTCCTTCTCTCTATTTGACCTACCCTGACTTTCTTCAGGGTTTCTTGCTCAGGGTGCTATTGGACAAACCGAATAACATATTTTTATATGAATTTTTCACTTTATATCTTGGGTAGGGAGGGGGGAAATTGAAGTAACTTACAAAGAAATGCACACCTGACTCCCAGCACCCAGCTCTGCATGGCTCGGCCTGCTGTTCCAGATTGATTCCGCGCCCACCCAATCTCCATTAACTTTCGTCCATGCATCGTGGACCCACAGTCTTGCCCCAGGTAGGTTAATGCTCCCTCTCGTGTCCATGCATGTGAGGAACCGGGGTCATCTTTTTCTTTCGCATGCCACCTCTTTTCCAAGATGGCACCCAGAAGCCCCTCCCTCCATGGCTAACTCTCTGCAGTCCGTTTTTGGTAGCAGGCCTTGCCCCACAGAGGAACCAGGCTGGTTGGGACACACTCTACCCTTATCCTCAGCTCTTATTTACAATCTTTCTGCCAATCTTCTGCTAAGGTCCCTGAGCCATGGAGGTGGTGACAGATGTAGGGTGATCTCTCTTGTATCATGGTGAGATAGTAACTTCTTAGGCTTCCCCATTATTCGTCTTTAAGCCATGGCCATTGATCTATCTCAGTGGTGTTTCTTCTACTATAAAGACAAATAGAAGGAAGTAGACACGTCTAAACAAACCTGAGTGTAAATACAAATGCCTAGACGATATCCCAGTAGGTGTACTATATTCATTAAACAGTATACTTGTAATGGCTTTCCCAATCGGGCTAGTAGCCTTTCTTGACACAGGGCTTGGCCTGGTCTATAGCAACAGATGTGTGTTCCACCCATAGGAGCATGCCTTATCCAATTAGAAGTTTGTCAGTTGTATGTATGTCAGTTGTTTGTGCCATTATTACACTTGCAGGTGTTGCTTGGCATGTCCATAGTGTGCAGCACGTGGGTCCATTGTCGTGTAGAATAACAGGGGATCCTTTCTTCTCCAACCATCTACATAGTGCATTCTGGCACTATGAATGTTATCCATCCAGTGGCATGGAGCTTTTTGGCTTCTCTTCCTCTCTCACCCCATGCTCACATCATGCAGTGTCTTCAGCAACTTGGCCTTACCAACCTTTCTAGTGTACAACTGACATTAGTGGCAAAAGCCTTGGTGAATTTGAGGACGTCTAGGATCTCTCTCTGACCAACAACTCATAGGGGGGCAACCCACCCCTGGTACTGTAGATTTCCTTAACAGTTGTATAGTTTGGGAGCCTCTGTTTTTATCTTATCCAACCATAAAACTTCGAAGAATCTCACA